AACTCAATCTAAGTAATGGAAGTAGTAAAATTTATTTTCTTCTGCTTCCACGATTTTACTCTATAAGCTAGCATAAAAAATGTAACTAGATGTAAATTTCTTCACATCAACTAGTGAAGTTTGAATCAATGTATCCTATCACATTTAAACTATTTGTTTGTCTATATAAGTATAGATTTTTTGGTTCTTTAAAAATATTTTACTATTTTTTGTAGTTTTCCAAAGGTTAACACTTGGATTACAATGATATTTCCTTAAAATTTTAACCACAAATGTGATATTAGGTCTAGCGCAAACTAACAATTAAAGCATATGGAATATTTTTCATGTACTCCCACTCAAAGTCATTTTTTGAGCATTGACTTAATTCAAATTTCTCATCTTCCCAATGAGAGTCACATTTGGTGAAAAATCTTTCATGTTCAATCTCTCAAAAAAAATTATATAAGTCTTAAAATATTTTGAAATTTTTCTCTATGGATCTTAATATTTATGACATGATGTCTGTCTCATATCCTTTATATTAAGTTCTTTGAGATAAATTGTTTCACCTAATATAACTTAAATATATAATTTGTTGCATGCAAAATATCATTGATGTATAAAACAATAAAAAAAATTCCATTTACATTAACTTTCTTGTATATTTATTCATCTATTATCTTCTCTTCAAAAGCAAATGAAGATATATCTTTATAAAATTTTAATATCATTATGGAGGGGTTTGGTTGAATTCCTTTATGCATTTATTAAGCTTGCAAATTAAATGTTCACCATTACTTAAAAAGAAATTTTTAAGTTATTTAATCTAAACTTTTTATAATAGATCACCAATGAGTAATATTGTTTTCATATCCATTTGATGTAACTCAAAATTAAAATGAATTATTAATGTCATAATTATTTAAAGAGAATCTTTCTTAGACATAGGAGAAATGTCTGCTTATAAACAACTTCATCTTTCTTAATGAACCATTTGGTAACAAATATAATTTTATATCTTTCAATGTTATCTTTTGAGTCTTTCTTAGGTATAAAGACTCATTTAAATCTAATGAATTTTGCATCATTAGGCAACTAAACCAAAACTTATACTTGATTAGATGTGATAGAGTTCATTTCATATTTTATAGCATTATACCACAAATTTTATTCCTTATAACTCATTGATTTGTGAAAATATTTTAGGATTTTTTTGGCTCAAATGTTATAATCAAAATCTTGTAAATACACTTCATAATCATTAAAAATATTCCATTTTTTCATTCTAATCTATTTGCTTAATGTTGTCTCATTACCGTGATGAAGAACTTATTGTTCAACAGATTGCTCAACACGTGGGTCAACAAGTGGTTAAACATTTACTTGTTATTTATCATTAATAACCTGATCTACATTATCTTCTACAACAGACTTGTGAAACTCGAATAATTGGTTTCTAACATGCTTATGAACTCGGAGGGACGTAAATGACTAGTAGTTTATGATTTGATTATGAAGGTTGATTTTCATAAAAACATTTCCAATAGGCATTATTTAAAAAAATTCTTATCAATAAAAAATATTATTTTAATATGGGTCTCACGTTAAAATTATGTTTCTTAGTTATAAGAACTCTTACAACTCTTATTATAGATATTCTAATAATCTTCTTTAAAAATAACATCTTAAATTAAATCTTTACTATTAATCAAGTTATTTTTAAGAAACTCTACATTTCTTTATTTCATAATTCTAATTTTATGAGATGGACAATAAAGTTTATATAATTTGGATTATAAATTCTTACTTTATATGGACATCCTTAAATGTATACATGTTGTAAACTAGTTTCCAACCTTTTAATTACTCAAAAGGTGTGTTTGAAACAATCTTGGTTATTATATACACAAAAGTCTAAAGTACTTGATAGAACTAATATTCAAAACAAGATGAAAACTCAGTAATCTTGACAATCTTTATTATTATACTCAAATTTAGTTCATACCATTGTCGTATGAATAGAACATAGTTTTAAAAGAGTTACAATTGTTATCTATTGAGGTTATTAGAGAAACCCCACTCTCCTCACTCCAATTAAAAAAAAAAAAAAACTTTTTCCTCCCTCTCAAAAGTGTCCTTGAACTATTTAAATAGTTTAGATATTGCTAGCACACAACTTATTTATTTCTTCTCTTATATACCATATCGAACCTATCAATACCCCACCCATAAAGAGTCACATTGTCCTCAAGGTAAAAATCTAGAAATTCTCAGACAATAGAAGTAGCTGATTCTCAATTATTTTCTATCTTTGGAAACCTGTACCATTTAGGAAGAACTTCTAACTCACCACGCAAATTAATTTGTATGTTCAACACTTAAGAGTTACTTTTAAAACGTAGTCTTCTGAAAGCATTGCAAGTAATGGTTGAGAAGGATTTGGAGATTGTACTACTAGCTTAAGAAAAGACACATGAAACATCGGATGAATACGACTGTGCAGAGGAAGTTGAAACTTATAAGCAACCTGACCGACGCGTTCTACAATTTGATAAGGACCATAATGTCGCAAATGCAATTTTTTATTAAGCTTCTTTGCTAGCGATGAAGAATGGCAGACTGAATTTAAAAAAAAAAAAAAAAACCAATCTCCAACTTGGCAAACCACCTCACATATGTGTTTATTAGCATGAACATGATTTTGATCTTCTGCTTTGCATAAGTTGGCTTTCAATTCCTTTAATATTACATCTCGTTCTGTCTGTAACTGGTTTACACTTTCCACTCGGGAAAGGATATTATGCCTTTAAAAAGTAAAGGAGGGTTCTACCATAAAGAGCTTTAAATGAGTCATTTCAGAAGAGACACTATAGTTTGTATTAAATCAAAAATCTACTCAGGGTAACCAGTTGAGCCATTATTTAAGTTGAGAACCTGTCATGCAATGATAGTAGTAATCGTGTTTAGGGTAAAGTTTCATATTAAACTTCCACTTTCCTATCCTCTCACTCTTGTGGTTGCACAATAGATATGATAGCATAAACCACTTGCCTAGACTAAGCATCACCTACTTTGTTCTCCTTTCGAAGATGATATTGAATTTTGAAATGAAACTCGATGAGTTTCGAAATCCCCTTGAACTGATTGAAGAATTAGTCAATCCAAAAGACATTACTAAAAACTCATAATGACCTTCATGAATCCCAAAGGTTGTTTTCTTACTATCATCTTCCTTCATTAGGATTTGATGATACACTAATTTTAAATTCAATTTAAAAAAAATGGTTGTTTCTGTCAATTATCTAATAATTCATTTATGACATAATTATTTTGTTGAGGACTCTTTAATATACACAAAATCATTTCCCACCATTTTTTTTAACCAAAATCATAAGGCTAAAATAGGGACTAATATTAGGTCTAATGATTCCCACTCTGAACGTAGTAACAATTTTTCAATTGCATTCTTACGATGATGTTAGTATTTACGAGGCCTTAGATTCGAAATGGAAGCTCCTTCTTTTAAATGAATAAATGAATAGCATGATCCTAGGTCTAGCTAGGAGGTAATTCGATTAATTCTTGAAATATCTCTGCGTGAAATTCTAACACGCGAGCCACTTCCACAGGTATTGGTTAAAGAAGGAGTTCTTCTTGCAACAGGGCTACCAAATACCCTATATCTTCTTTTTTGTAGTTTGCTTAGCAATCTTTTCAATGATGTTGATGTGGTAAATAACGTGGGATCTCCTATAAACATTCGCTGTGACTCACCTCTTCCAATGGTCAATTTTAGTTTCCCAAAATCAGCCTTAACTTCTCCTAAGCTGGCCAGTCATTCTAATCCCAAGACCACATCAGCTCCTCTTAGATAAAAAATGAAGATGAAAAATTTCGATTGAATATTCAACCATTGTAACTCCACCAGATAAGGACGGGTCTCTTCAGCCTCTAACCCACTTTTATTCAAAATACATAATATACATGTAACTTTTATTAAATACATTGTTTAATATCTTCTAATTTGGTCATGTTTCTTTAAAAGTGAATTGGATTAAAAAAATGTTTCACACATAAATATATGCAAAATCTTATATTTATTTAAAATTAATATAATTCAATCCCATTTTATATTTCGGTCATAATCTTAATCAAATATTACGATTTGAACAACTTTATATAAAATAAATTTTATTATTTCAACCGTGCAATTATAGTTTTATATCATTATAATTATTCATGTCAAATTTCTTAAAATTGGACCAGGAAAAAATAAGGAAATCAAATTATTATCTCAATATATTTAGAAAAATATAATTTGATTTTGATCTATATAAACAACACAGAAAATAATATTAGATTAACATAATTCTTTTCATATATGTTTTACGTAAAAAAAAACACTTTCAATATATATCATCTAATGAAAAATATTAAAAAAGTTGCATGGGTGTAATTTAATTTTTTTCACTTCCTCTCTCTTTGTTCTCGACTTTAAAAGATATAATACCGAATATATTATTCGTTTATCAAAAGTACTTTATTACAAAGTGCCCAACAATTGGTTACTTGAGCTTAATATAATCAACAATGTGCCCTAATCAATGTTAACTTTCAATCAACCTGGATTTTATACAGTACAATTACACAAGTTCACACTAATGAATGGAAACAATAGTTAACAAAATTTCGTTCCAATATGATGGAATTAAGACGAGTATAAAAATAAACATTCGGTTAAACTAGCCTGTTTGTTTCCATTCTAACATGACTAGAACCATCAGTTTAGACAGCATACATGAAAATTGAATTCAAAATCAAGTGAAGAATAATACCAAGCTAAACCAGATAATCCACAATTGAAGCACAGGTCAAGAAGCAAATAAAAAGACCAAAAGCAAAAAAGAAAGTACAATAAGAACCTTTCTCCAAAATTCAAGTAGATTCGTGATGATTGCACCCCGATGCAGCTTATCCAACTCGTAACGGTTTGCTTGAAAAGATACCGAGGGTGCATTTTATAAAGCACCATCTGATGGCAGTGTGCTCTGAATATTTGAAGGCATAAGGATGTTGAATCCATCTGCTGCGGTAGAAACAATCATTCCAGGAATCTGTGCGTGCCAATGTAGTTCCTTCAGATCTTTCTGCCCCTGTTTTAAATCAAGGCAAAATAAACGAATGAACACAATTTAATCAGGAGATTTACTCTATCATTCGGATAAATGGAGTAGAGCATTTGGACTTACCTGGTGAATAAACAATAGTTGGGGAGGCAGATCTTCAGGAGCATTAACTTGTTCTTTGATTTTAGCTTTAAATTCGGCCTCCTCTTCTTCATCCTTTTCTAATGAAAGGTCCCATATTCTGTGAAAGGTTATAAAAACTTCTTAAATCTCATACATTAAAATAGCAAAGGAGAAAGAGGCAGTATGGTGCCAAGAAGATCACACGTGTAGGTTCTGGGGAAGGGTCAAACCCAAAGATTAAAAAAAAAAAAAACACTAAGCATTTTCCCACCAAGTGGAGTCAATCAACTATTTGGATCAAAGGATACCATGAAGTTCCGTGTCAGGTATTACATATTTACCACTAAATCTCTCTTAGTAGTATTAAAAGCAGAATATATCAAATTATATCAATATCCTTTTCTACTTACGTAAGCTGATTATCAGCAGATGTTACAGCCAATGAAGATGCTTCATGTGGACTCCACTCAATGGATGTGATTGGGTGCTTATGGTATTCAAAATGTGCTACCACAGAATCTCCTTCCTGCCCATAGATTAATGCTCTTTTCATGTCAGCTTTAATAATAAAAGAGTAAATTAATAAGCTGAAAGAAATCAGACATCGTGAAGGTTACTTTCTAAATCTTAATCCCACAAAATTAGTTCTTCACCATAATGCATCTACAATTCTTCACATGGATTTACATGGATTTACAGGTATAAAAATGAAAGGGTAAAAGAAGGATGTGATAATGAAACAAGGGAAAAGAAAGTAGGATGACAGTTTTACAAATAATGATGTAATATGCCTGCTGGAACACAAGGAAGCTGTATATAACATAACTAAACACCATCGACACCAGAGAAAATCACATGCACACAGTAACCTTCCTGTTATTAATGAAGCATGTGTACCATCTTTTTATTCTTTATGAAGGCTACCTATACCTTGAGCAGTCTGAGATCACGAATAGAAATAGTCCCATCATCACTCCCGGAGGCCAACATACAACTAGCCAACCTGCTCAGTATAATATAGTTCAATGTGATGAAGAGATCTGGAATGGCAGTTGATAGAATTAACGAATGAATTAATACCTGTTCCATGACATGACATTCACATCAGCATTATGGGCCTTAAAAGATGCAGCTGGTGACTTCCCCAAGCGAGTATCCCATATTGCAATGCTTCCATCCACAGAACAGGAAGCAAAAACGTGAGGTTCAGTAGGGCTCCACTGCAGATTAATTGACCATTACAACTCTCACGTTTATAAATAAAGATAAGCTAGTAATGTTACAGAGTGCAGGCACAAAAATATATCACACTGAAACTACAAGAGCAACTATTGCTTTGCATATTAGTATACGTACTTGCAGATCTTCAACACTAGCAGCATGTCCAGTAAATGGAGCATTATCAACATTCCAGGTTCCGGCAGATGTAGGCTCCCACAGATAAATACTATTATCACAATCCCCTTAAGGAATGAAGATCAGTGTCAAGATTCATATATCTGTGATCATAAAATATGAAGACATGCCAAGGAAAAATAAAAAATATAGCTAAACTGAAAAATGTAGAACTAAAGATTACCAGATACAAGCCTTCCAGGAACAAGAGGACTCCAGTCTATAGCATAACCTTCATCTTTGTGTTTATATTTATATAATGGGTCCTGATTAAAAACTGCTGCAACTCCTTGGACACCTTCTGTTTCGGTCTCCGCTAGAGCATTCAGATGAGAGCTTAGGTCCCAGACCTACAAATTGATTCTCAAGTATCAAAATATATACTATATAGAAGGCATGGCTTACAACAGCATTTAAATTTTCTGATTCAAAGAAAAGACAGAAAAATACACTTCACAATTTTCTAATATACTCCCCCCATTCCCTCCCATTTTGAACCCTTTGTCATAGTTGCATTTGGTAACACAATTGCAAAATTAAAATAAACCCTCCAGATAGCATGCAGGAAAATTTTGACACTGCAGAAGTGCTTAAAAGTGCAAAATAAGAGCTCCTTTCGTGAACTAACATAATCTGAATTAATTTCTAATTATTTATTTCAGGAAACAACTCTTAAGAGTCTAGGGCAATTTGACTGATTATTTCCTCAGTCAAGGTCCAATACATCTCAAAACTTTAAACAGAGTTTATAGTGTAAAAGGCTAGGAGTTAACATACTAATAAATGTTATCAACCAAGAGTGAATCTCATGAAATTTAACATTACAGTATCTTTCTTAAGACAAAGTCGATATATACCCAGTTTTACTTCCATTCATTTTATCATATAACATAATGAACATTGCCATAGCACGTCAATTTGCTATAATTTTAATTCCAAAAAAATAGGAAATTTTTCTTGAAATTTATGACAAATTAGAAAAAAAAAAATCAAATGGTTGAAAAATCTGACCTGCACATGACCGGTATCAGCCCAAGCTGCACATATATGGGGATTTTGTGGCATGGAGCGTATACGGTTTATACATCCTTGGTGTGCAACCTTCCGTAACTGTAGTTATCAAAAGCATGAAAAAGTTAGTACAGTCAAATTTAAAGCAGTCAACAAATGAACAGTAAGTACACATATGAAGAGAAATATACCTGCAAACTGGGACCCTGAGCAACATCTTCATCTTCATCCTCACTATCATCATCACTGTCACTATCCTCACCATCCATTCCAGAGTCATCAGTTTCAAGTTTAGGCACAGGTTCCCGTCTCTTTCCAGAAATGTTTGATACTTTAAAAATTCCAATAGAATTCCAAGAAGGTTTCTCTGCCTGTGGCTCATGCATTGTCATAACATGAGTTTGATGATCAAAAGAATCAAAATGGAAAAAAGACAAAGGAAGCAAAGCAAGTGGACAACATAAATATTAGCTGCTATGTGTTAACTCTTCTTGAAACAATTACCAGTTATAATAAAAAGAGGGAACAAATTTGTTTTCAAAACTCAAAAGTCCTTCAAAGGGAAAATTCCCTCATATCCACAAAGCCTTGTGTTACCCCATGTGATATTGCTCATGAATAGTACCCACTAGCCATCTCCAATTTTATTAATGAAATATCCTAAAACAAAAACAAATATAAAAAACAACAACCAACCTGAGTCCCTGCCACGAAATAAACTGTGTGTGGAAATTCTGTTCGAACTAAGCCCAGAGAGTCACGTAAAATATCAAAGCTGTCAAAAGTCCCAAAAGCGTATGTATAAGTAGAAGATTAATGACGACAACCAAAAAAAGTAGAAGATTACTGATACTGAGCAGAAAGTAAAGCAAATGCCAAATAATGGTGGCCAAGATTCTCGATTGAATTGCAATGTCAATGCAAAAGGAACTTTACATAACAATCGTATGATCCTATAATTATTACAAATCGCAATCCAAGCAAAAACAAAAAGGTTTGCTTATCAAAAAAAGCTCAAAGTTTTTCTCTGGCTTCTGATACAAACAAAAACAAACACAAATGATAGAACAAAAGAAAGAGCCATGAAAAATACCTCAAACAGGGCCATCCAATGTGAAAGGCATGAAGAGAATTGTAAGCAGAAGGGTCACACTGAAGCTCTTCACCTTCCTCCAACTTATCCACCCCAGGTTGCCACACCTTCGCTGGAATTTGTGGCGCCAAAGATGAAGACCCACCCTCTTTCTTCGAGCCCTGATTTTTGTTTTCATTAATTTAAACAAAAAAAAACAATGAAAATTGCCCACAAAAGATCGTAACGAAGTGAGGTTACAGTAATGATAAAAAAATGAACAGTATTGAATAGGGCAGGAGATTGAACCTTGTTCTTGCTCTTGGCTTTCTTACGATGTTTTATGCCCCGAGTCATATTCGATTAGTTCGGAATTGAGAAAACTGAGAGACGATGAATAAGTCAAAAAAGGACTAGCATAACATCTTATTAGGTCAAATTCTACCATCACAATTCACAAAGCTTTCAGTAGATAAATAATAATAACCAAACTTTTTTCTTGTGCGTACAAAAATCAGAGTAGAAAGAGGGTAAAGAGAATAGATTAAGCTCATGGTGAAGACAAACCTGAAGGCTTAAGCTGTTGGTCGCAGAGACGCTGAGCCACCAAGGACAGGGGTTTTAGGGGTTAATATCGTAGGGCTTAACTTTCAATATTTTTATTTGATCAACTGAAAAAGGAAACACAAAAAATAAAAAATAAAAAACTGTGTAGGGGTTCTAGGGGTTATCTCCACCAATCAACTTTGAATGAGAGGTTTACTTAGTATTTTAAATTTATAATAATTTATTTTTAAATTATAATTGAAGATTATGTTTAACTGTGAAATGATTCAAAGGTAAAAAACTGAATTAAATCATTAAGATAAAAATAGATGAGAAAACATAAATAATTAAAAATTAAATATATATATATATATATATATAAGAAAAAATCAAATTACATCAATATAATTTTTATCGAATATTCTATATTTTTATATTAGATAATATTAAAATTTTATCACTAAAAATATTCACTGAGTGGATAAAGATTGGACTAATTTAATCTATTTAGATTAAAAAAAATTTATTGAGTTAAATCCAATATATCCTAACTTTCTACTGGTTAGATGACAGTTTCCATGTTAATTTGAAACTAAATCCAATCAAAATTGCTAAATAATAATAATAACAATAACAACAACATAATTATTATTTAATTTATAAATAATAACAATAATAATATTTTAAATATTATAATATATATATATATATATATATATATATATAATATTAAGTTATTCACATATGAATTAGTATAGTCTATTTTCTAAAAATTTATTCTAAAAATCTAAAAAATATATTTATGATTATAAATTTTAATATAAGAATGACATTTGAAAAAAAAATTATTAAAGCTATCAAATTTAATTTAAATTTAAAAAAAATGAGTTGATCGAATTTATAAGATTTGACTTAAAAAATTGTAAACAAATATTTTATTAAAGAACAAGATTTTTTTTTTCAAAAACTATAAACGAAAAATTTGAGCAATTATTGAGTCATAAGATAATATGTAAAGATGAATAATATCAAAATATATAACATAATAATAAAATTGCAAGATATGGAAAAATTATTTTCAAGGAGAAAACATAACACAACTATATTATAATGGGTACAAATCTTTGTCAACCTTAATAATACTTATAGTTTAAGAGAAAGTAATAATTATATTTTTCACCTACTAAAATATAAGTAAAGAGAATTTTATTATATATAATCTCTTTAAGGCTCTTTTTCATAGTTAAGATATGATAATTAAGAATAACTTAGTATATTTGTTGTACTTAAGAGTTTATTAGTATATTCTTCATAGTAAAAATTGGTAGTGAGATATTTATTTGTAATATTGTTAATTATAGTGGAATCTTTAAGTATTGTTTAAAGAATAACTAAAAGTAACCATTAGTTTTGGATAAACTAACGTAGAAACTAAGTGTTTTTATTGTCATCTATTTTACTTCTTTATATATTTCACATTTTGATCGTTGTTTTAAAAACCTTGTGAAACTATTTTGATAAACTTTTATTAAATTAAGATGTTCTTTGGGTTATCTTACAAAAATTAACCATTACACCGTACACATAGACTAATATTTATAAAACTATCATATGACAACTTGATTATGTTATCATATAACCATGTCAATAAGAGAAATCATTATAAAAATAATTTTTAAAAGTTCTACTCAATCTCTTGTTTTTAGAACTAACTTTTTTCAATTAATATTTCATATAGATTAATATATATATATATATATATATATATATATATATATATATAATATTCATGAGATAAATAAATAGATCTCATTTATTAGTTTACATATATAAATGATAAAAATTTGGAGGTGGTTATAATGACTTAAATGAAAATTTTGAATTATTAATAATTAATAAAAGTGGTAAAATTGACAAGTAAGTCTACCTTATTTTATATAATCCTATTTTTAACCCATTAAAATATTGGGTATTAAAGGGAAAAAAAATCTACACACACGAGAAAAACAAAAATAGAAAAATAACATAGAAATTAACGTGTTACATCCACAACACACTCAATAACTCGACAAAATTACAAACCTTTTCATGCAATTTTTGTACAAAAAAATTGTAAACTCTCTCTTGACACACAACTAATCAAGTCTCCAATACACTCGTTAGACTTGTGTTGTTGTGGTGAGAAGACCCAAACTATCACCCCTTATTTATGGTAATAGTCTATCACTCCCTTCTTTAAATTACTTGATGTGGAATTTTAGAAGATACTCATACATTAGCGCAACATAAAAATAGAATGAGACACGACTAACTTAATATAATAATGATAAATTATATGTTCAACGTGTCTTGTTGTCATCACTAATTAATATTACCCCAATAGAAAAAAAAACTCAAACCTAATATTATTACGTTCATAAGTTTTTTTTATTATATTTTAACTCTACAACATAATCATTTTAAAGAAATACCTTAATGCATATTAATTATATTTGAATATTTATGTAATTAATAATTATTCATATTCATCGACTTTAAATAATGAATTTAAGCTTTATAACAAAATTAAAGTCTTAACTTAAATAGAATAAAAAAATTTATGTTCCATGATAAATTAACTTATTATAACTTAACATTTATATTACATTTTACTTTTTACTATTATTTATTAGTTTCATAATATAAAATAAAATATCATAGATTTTTATAAAGATTACTAAGATTAAAATATATATTCATTTCATTATTTACATTTAACAATATTATTATATTTTTACTTATTAGTATATTAAATTGATTAATATATTATAAATTTCATATCAAACCTACTGGGAATTACACATTTCCATAATTTTTCCTTGCACTTCCATAATTAAATTAAACCCCATTTTACTCTTACATTTATCTTTATCTTCATTTTTGGAATACAATTCAGATTGTCCTATCCAGAAACATATTTTGAAACACGTAATCTAGAAAGACTTTTCTGGAAAATCCAATTGGGAATATATTTTTAGAAAGACTTTTTCAGAAACACATTGCAGAACACCTGGAATGTGTTTCCAGACACACATTCTGGAATACTTAATCCAAAATGCATTTTCGAAAAGACTTATTTGGAAACGCATTCCAAAATATTTAAAATGGAATGCATTTCTCAAAAGGTTTTTCCGAAATGCATTATGAAACACCCATTTACGAATATGTTTTCATAAAACTCTTTTTAGAAACATGTTCCAGAACACCCAATCCGAAATGTGTTTCCATAATAACTTTAGAATTTGAAACCTTAGAAAGAGAATAAAGACATGTTTAAACAATAATGAACCTAAACTTGCATAACAAAGGAGGACACCCCAATAGAAAGACTCGACCTTATATGAGAAAATATGAAAAAATAAAAAAGGAAATACAAAAGCTCAACAAGCTTTTATACACCTAAAGGACATAATTTCCAAAAAAAATGAAAAATCAACTAAGTCAAAATGTTTAAATATCAAACTTGTTGAAACATAGTTTATCTCAAGTATATTTGAAATAACTTTTTAACAGTTTAATAGTTTACTGGTAGAAGTAAAGTTTTTATTTTGTAAGAATATCATGCACACAAATTTTTTAGACCCAATTATATATATATATATATATATATATATATATATATATATATATATATATATGATACTACTATTAATTAATTGAATAATAAATAATCACAATAAACATTTAATATGTGTAAAAAAATTTATTATAAATATATACAAACTAACATTTATAATAACTAATAACAATTATTTAGTGAAACAATTTATAATATATAAGAAAAACTTATACAAAATAAATGAGATAAAACAATAAAAGATATATATAATTGAACATATTAGATGAATCATCTTGATTAAAATGAATAAAATAATTTAAGTTAGATTAAATCGTAACAAAATAACAAAAACTAATAGGAGATAGATTAAGATAAGTTAAGATAAGATGTATCGATTAGAGAGAAATCAAATCAAGATGAATCAAATCAAACCAAAATAAATCATTGAATCAGGTAGACTAGATCTAGTGTAATTAGTTAGGTCAAACTTCATCATGGTTAGACCAGGTTAGGATATGTCAAGTTAAGATGAATTTATCTAAGTCAGGTTAAGATATGTTAGTTTAAGATGAATTGATTTGAGTCAAGATGTAATGGAACATATCAAGAGCAATTAGGTCATAATGGTTCGAGTAGGACCATAACATGTAAAATTGATTCAAATGAGATCAAGACAAGTTGAATCAAGTCAGTTTGAACTAATCATGTTTATTTAAATTACTCCATGTTTAAATAGATCAAGATTAGTAAAAAATATCTTAATCTAGATTAAGTATATATATATATATATATATATATATATATATATATATTAATTTAAAAGAAAAAATAATGAAAAATTAAAATTTAAAAATAATCTTATTTTAGTAATTAAAATATTATCATCAACTTTTAGAATTTTAGATGCTTTTTAAATTTTTTGTTTAACTAACAATTTTTATCATGAAACTGTTTAATTATTCTATTACGATAAATTACTGTTTAATTATTCTATTACCATCAATTACCCTTTATAAATTCCTCCTCGAAGTACAATATTAGTGTTTTAAGGAACTCTAAACGTTGCTTCTAATGTTTTTATTTTCCATATTACACTTTTTATTCTTTTATATAACTTATTATTTATGTTAATGTAATTCTTTGGCGAGTATAATTTTGTAAGATGAATAAGATGATTCATAATGAATGAATAAGAGAGATTTTGGTTTGTCCATTCATGATATTATCAAACAAAATTTGAACTGTTAGTGTTTTTGTTTACAAGCATAAGAATTTTACCTTGATTCTCATACTTGAAAACAATAAACTACAATAATTGATAATTCTTAACATTAGAAAATTACATATCAATTTTGTAAATACAAATATTTAAAACATTTTTTCTATTTTAAAATAAGATAAAAAAATTAGTTCAGATAATGTGGATTAGAAAGATTGTTCAATTTAAAATTAATTATTTAAAGTAATTAATTCTAAGTTGATTCTGACGAACAGTTCATACGTTTAACTTGAGAACCGAACGGTTTAAAATAGTATTGGGATTTTCAAAATAACAAAGTCAAGTAAAGTACTATTCCATGATGGTCTAATAGACGTCTAAGATACAGAATATAATAAGATTTTTCACAATACATTATTTACCTACGTTTTTCTATGTTCAATTTCATATTATATTTATACAAAGGATTTTGTCAAAAGAAATAACATTCAATTCTATAACTTTTTTATCTTAAAAAATAATTAATGCTTGACTATCAGAAATACCTTTCTGTAAACTATTAGATATCTTTCATTAACTTAATTTTTCTCTTTCATCTCTAAATAACAAGATTATCAATTCAAAAAGGACAAGTTTTGCAAATTACAAAACTATAAATGTAAATTTACAAATAAAATAAACTATAAAATATAATTTTTAAATTATCAATATTAAATGAAAATAAAGATAGTATGAAATCGTCTGGGTAACCAAATTTTATATTAAACAATTATAAATTTCAACAAGTACAATGATAAAATAATTAATCATTAATAGAAAATAAAGAGAGTTCTATGTAAACATACCTGAATCGAATGCATTTTGAAATAAAATCAATTATAAATACCACCAAGTAAAAGAATAATTTTTTTTATCACTTAATAAGAAAATAAGAAAGTTTTATGCAGACATATCTAAGTCCAACATATTTCAGCATAGAAAAGAAAATACTGAAATATAAACCTTTTATATATATATATATATATATGGTAGTGGATATCTGGAAAAGGGGCTCTATTAGTAACTTGAAGGGTACTTAAGGTCAAATGTAAGTATGAATAGGCCATAAATCTGGTACCCTATTATAAAATACGAAACTTGGTAGAACTTAAAATTGTTTAATGTAAAATTCAGATACTCAGAAAATATTTTACATTTTATAGAAAGAAAACAGAAAGTTGTATGCAAATAATTATAACTGGCTCCAGTTGTATAAAGAAAATAAAAAACATTAATGGGTTATGCACCATGCCAGACTGAGAAATAGCTGTGTTTCGTGGCTGGACTATATGATACAAACTATAGAACATGATCAGAAGGAGTCACAAAAAGAAAACAAGGTTATGGTAGATGCAATCAACCTAGTCTTGTAGAACCTCCATGAATATGCTAATTCTACCATGATACACCTGATTTTTTGTCAATACACCTTGTCCCATCGCAATCAAACTACATATTGTCACAATGAATTAAACTACTCCTTGTTCAATGCTGAACTCCTTTACTAACCTTCCTTGCAAATCATCTTCTTTACTTAATTTTTGTTACGGTCATATACTCTACTTCAATGGTTGACATAGTCACAATTAAGTTTCAACAAACAGGTCACATGCTAGAACAAAAGCATAGCTACACAGTAAACAAATAATAATAAAGCATAGATAAATAGTGATGTTTGTTACAAAACAGTAATAACATCATTTCTACCTCCACAATTGCTTTAACAGGATGAATGTAGTGCTTCGGATACTAATTTAATCTGTTCCGCGATCAGTAGAGAGCGATTGACGAGCAGTTCCATCTCAGCATGTCGCAAGTTCTTCCACCTTCCCTCTAATTCCTTCCTCTTCGATTCTCCAATTAAAGTCAGACCCTTCTTCATGTCTTCCTCATCCAGCTCTTGAAATCGAGAAATCTCGCGGTAAAGCAAACTCACGTCATTACCATCATGCTTTCCCGACTCCGGCAAATCCGAGGGCAGCACTGATGGCTCCGAAGGTGGTTTGGCTTTGGGTTTTGCGGCACTACTGTTAACAGCTTCCCTCTTCGGAGTCTTAGCAGCGGCTTTCTTGGGCTTTTCTATCAGTCCATTGGCTCCATCACCCCAAATCTTCTTGGAGATTTCATACACAGTCTCGTCGTGAGGTGACACGAACCGAGGCTCCTGCCCCTGCTTCTCTCTCTGCTCCAGAGTCTCGAACTTCTTCCTCAGGCGTCGGATCTTCTCCTTCAGCTGGCTGCTTGAAGCCTCAAGGTGGAGTGACTTCTTAACGAAGTTGTGAAAAGCGTCGACGTACCTGTAGGGATCTTGCCCTGTCATTGCGATGAACTCATTCATGCCCTTCAAAATGCCAAGCACGTCTTCATCGCTCCAGATCCGCTGGAACATCTTCCCCTGGCCGCCGGACTTCTTCCCGTCCTCCACCGCCTCGTCATTAGGTACAGAGGAAGAAGGAGCGCCGGTTGGTTTCTTCTTCGCTCGTTTCGGCTCAGTAACGCTGGCGGGGCGCTTGGATCCCGATTGCGCAGGCGCGGGGGCACGCTGAGCCTGATCCGCGGGTTTGGATTTAGCCCGGGTGGGTTCGGAGTCAGTGTCGGATTCGGACTCTGAGGAAGAGAATTTGGGGCGTGGGTTAGAGGGTGCAGAAGCAGGGAGAATGGGACGTTGCTCATCGTCTTCTTCTTGGGAAGAATCGTCTTCCTCTCCAGAGGATGAAACCTGTACTCCTGCTGGTGCTGCATGCGGTTGCGAGGAAGGCGCTTGCTCATCATCTTCCTCGGATTCGGAGGAGGAAACAGTTGGAGGATCTTCAATGGGAGGAGGGCGCTGCTTCCGCTTCTGGGGCATGGCTGAAGATTTGGGAATTAGGGTTTCCGCAGAGAAAGTGAGAGAGCTGAAAACACGCTAATGACTTTTTCTTGGCGTATATAAAGTCGCTGTTAGTGAAACTTCTAGTACATCTACTCTCCTCTCTTTTGTTCTGTCTAATTGCACTTATGTATATCAAAGCGAACAGGCAAAATTAATTGTTTGGAGGATTAAATCCAATATTGATCCTTATGATTTTCGTGAATATAAATTTCGATTCTTCAAAAAAATAAAATATTCTGTAAATTTGATTTGAAAATTAAACGATTCTAATTTACTGCTACTTCATTATTTAATTTCAAATAAAAATGTTAATAATACCAATGTTTAATAATACATTTTAAAATCTATTATCATTGAAAATATGTATTATTTAGATTATTATCAAAATTACTTAATTTAAAAAAAAACTAAAAAAATGAAAAATGTTATATAATTCTTATAAAGATCAAATTACTTAATTAAAAAAAACTAAAAAATGAAAAATGTTATATAATTCTTATAAATATCAAATTACTTAATAATGAAACCATAAGAAACAAAGTTAAATTTAGCATTTGACCCAACATGTTTGCGGGTAATGTGTAGGTGAATGTCAAAACCATTAAACATATCAGCACCGAAGATAATTCATTGCTTAGAGCAGGAGTTGGTCGTAAACAACAAGAAGGATTACATGAAATTTCAGTAAAGACAGGATTGAAAGGAATAATATAAATATGAAATCTTCCGGACGTGTTTGACAGAATACTATATATAACATCTGCAAAAGCTTTTGTTTCTTCTTGCATGTTTCTGCAGACTTTGTTGCATCTCTTGTGTCAAAAACAATTGCTTCCTCCACAAAATGACCAAAACAGAGGCACAAAGCTACTAACAATATGCATAGTTACAGATCATATGAAATAGTATTAGGACTACAAGCTAGCATGCTGGAGTATATATTGTAGCTTTGCCCCTGTTGTCAAAAGAAAAACCACCTCCGCCGTTGCCTCTGCAGGAGCAACATTCAAGATAAGAAAATCACATCATCAGTGTACCTAAAAGTAGGAGCAGGAGACTGCTGAGAAAGTAAAACATGATAATAAGGAAACATTAACTTCCTCTTTTATATTTTAAAGAAAGAAGAACAACTAATGAACTTCCAGAAATTTATTTAGCTCTTAAGTTCCAATATCTGCTTGATATCTTCTACAGGATGAAAGATCTCCCGTTTTGAATAGTAGAAGTTACAAAGTTCAATTAGAAAATTCCATGTTATGCAACAAACATTGCATATCTAAAATTACAATAGAGTTCACAATGGAAAAATGAAAAACCTTCAAATCTAATAAATTAGATGTTTCTGAAAAATTTCTCCAAATGCGCTTATGATATAAAAAATAAGAAAAATGAAAAAATATCCTTAAAATAAAATCAGTTTATAGGTAAGTTAAAAATCAGTTTTGAAAGAAATAAATACAAAAGAAATTCTACAAATTAATTTATGCAAGTTAATTGTAGTTTTTAAAGAAATATTTTCTTTTAATTCTTTTTCTACAAGTATTTACTAAAAAGTTCACCCGGACATAACGTTAGAGTAAATCTGAATGATGCATTTAGAAAGTACCATACAATGCAACCCAATATGGCAAATAGAAGCAAATTAGTAAATTGAAGGTATTAAGCAAATCCAACTTTCCACAGTACACAAATAGAAAAGTTGTCTCTATCCTGGTCAACATGCATAATCATGAATGTTTGAACCAAGATAACACAGAAAGAAAGAGACCTTTTCCTGCTTTTGCGGTTTTATTAAAATAGGCTCCGGAAGAACAGCATTGTCAATATCCTGAATGTATGGCTTCACCTTGGCCTCCAACATCTCATTCAACTGAAGGTGAAATCAAGTGTCAGTAACTTGCACGAAAGATTGAGGGACAATGACATTGAAAGTGTGCAAGAATCATATAACTCACAAATTGAATATGTATTGAAGGCATGTAATAATTCCGACAGCGGTTAAGTACATAACTCAAACCACAGACAGCTTTGCATCTTGAATTTGAAGCAAAACCCAAGCATACCATGAACATTGTAAATTAAATTGTAAATGCAATTTAACATTATTTCATTATATGAAATGCCTGATTACAACATGTCTTTGATTACTTGATCTTTTCACCATAAACAAAATTACAAACAGATGTAAAGACAAATTCACCAACCTTGTCCTGACGCCATTTAGTTTCCCACTGTGCATCCAAGATCTTATCAGAGATTTCTCTTTGGGCATTAAGAAGAACAGTCATTTCATAGAACTTTTCTGGATTTTTGAGATCCTCCTCGCTCCAAGACGATGCATTCAATGGAAGGTCCAGATCCTGCCAATTCTCAGCAGTTTATGTCTCATTTCTGAGCAGGATATATGCCTACAACACTTTTCATTTTTTTTTACAAATGGAGAAGGAAGTGACCAACCCAACAATATATTTTATAGAGAAAATTTGTGATGGCATATTTTATGAACATTCTATGACCATTTTTGCATGCTCTTACATTTATATTCTTACTTTTATGCATTTGAGCCAGAGTCTCGGTAATTTCAAAAGGTTTTAGCCCACTGATTTTCTGTTGAACAGCTTCAAGAAATAAAAAGAGAAAAAATTGGAGGGGCGTTGATAGTAGAATGCACTTCAAAAAGAGTCATCATTGTACAGTTCACATCTATTAGTAGGCTTTTGTGAAGTTAAAAAAATTTGAACCGAGTTAGCCCATCCCAGGTGGATCACCAACACTAAACTTGTTCACTGCAAAAACATAGAGGCTTGTTTGGGCCCAACTTAGAGGCCAGTTTGCAGTTTTTTAAGTCATAGTGACCATGTCAATCCAATACATGCCATGCAACTCTTTTTATGTTTATGAATGTCCATTTGATAATATATTTTGTACACACATTTATAACTTTATTGTATAGTGAATACACTTTCCATGTTTTATTTTTCATTTTAAACTCATTTTCATTCTATAGTAATAAATTGGGTTGAATATACATATTTGCAGTGATTTTGTATTTTTAGCTAATTTGATATTTACTATTTTGATCATAACTTTTTATATTTTTTTTCTGTATAGATATATTTTTTTTCTGTTTCAAGTTACATTGAATTCCACATTTCTAAGACTTTCAAATGGATATATGGTCTGCTCTATTTGAAGTTTTATACTATTTTCTACTATTTTTAAAAGTTGATGCAGATTAATTGAAATTTTGTAAAGAATCCATACAAATTTGATTTTTCTTTGTATTAGCTTAACTTATGTAATTGGGCTTATGGACCTAATTAGAGTCCACATTTAGACCCATGTTTGATTCAAACTTTAGAGCATATAAATAGCCTATATATACTTTAAACTCATATCCAAAAATCATTTTATTAGTTTTTCTTAATTTTTCAATTTAAGAAGTGTCTTAGATATTTCTTTTCTCTCCTCTCTCATTTTCTTTTTGAATCTTCCTATTCTTCCTCTTTGTTTATGGTCTAAACTATTCTTGAGTTCTTCATCCATGGAAAACTAAATTTTGAGGATTAATTCTCAGAATTAAGATCAAACAAATCGAATTAAGTTTTGCACCAAAGGTTTCTCGCTCCGATTTTGTTATTTTCTTTTCTAATTTCAGTTTTGCACTTCATGATATCAATTTGTAATTATGCTTTTAGAAATCACATTAGGAATTGATTGAATCTTAATTTGATAATTAAATATATACTAGAATGAATGACATTGAGATTTAATTTCGGTTTAGTTTATTAATTGAATCGGTTAATTATTTAAACTTAGATTGAAATGTTTGGAGAACTATGATAAGAAAGAAGATTGTTTGTTGGTTGAAAGCATATATTGATCCATTTCTATCTTTTTTATTTCTGTTTTGCTCTTCAATTCTTATTTTACATTTTCAAATCCTCAAATTTTTATTTTCTACAAAAGAAAATCTAAAAATTGAATACATTTGAATGTGTTTTTGAGAATAATAACCTAAGTTTGTGCTCTATATTACAAAATCTTTAAAGTAAACTTAGAATCTTTGATTTCATGAACAACACTGAAAATCACCATTTTAACCAAATCAGGATATAGAATTCGACGAGTGCAACTATCAAAAGCTCATTATAATTTGAAAGAAAATTTTGCGCATTAATTAAAGGAATAACTAGCAAATATGACATGAAGATAGTAAATACTTACACCCCAATTTGACGGTCTTGGTGGAGGATCAAGCTTCATAACCTCTGTCTCTAGTGCCTTTTGAGCTTTATAATAAGGGACATTTTTCACTATGACAGGATCATCCCTTGCACGATCAGGATCAATAGATATCAAGGCCTATGATAACCCATCAATTAAAAGTAAACAAACATTGTAAAATTTAATCCAGAGGAAATTATATAATGTTTAAGATGAATGCCATAGTTTCATTAACCACATGAATAACGCCATATCAAGCATCCAAGTAATAAAAAACTACCATAATTATCAGAAAGTAGTAAATGAATAAAAAGTTTCCCATTTATTTTAGCAACTAGATGAATCCCCACCATACCCCACATTAACATTGCTCGTGTCTTGCAAATCTAAAATATGGCCATAGGCATTGCCAAATAGACATGGTCAGTGGAAATGATAAAAAGCTTACCTCCTGCAGATACTCCCACCCTGGTTTCCTCTTGGCCACCACATCTCGAAGTTGATCGTAACGCCTAGACTCCTAATTTACTCGTAAAAGGAAAATAAATATATTTAGAAATATAGACTTGACCAACTTCTATAAAGCATAAACAAAACAGAAGATGATTTAGGTTTTATCATGTCTGATTAACTTTCAGAAAGGTTAATCAAATGAAAGGACAACATAATTAATTACATGGGCTGTATAATTATAGAGCTTTGCCGGATTTCCTTTTACAATTCCATTTTAAATATTAAATCCTATTCTCTGCACCATTTTCCTCAGAAATCTGAAATTCCAAATAGTTACTAGCATACAGGCGAAAGTACTTTGTCCAAACTCCAAAGAATATCTTCCAACAGATTATGATTGCTGTTAGAGAAATACACAGGATTATTCAGACAAAGGAGCCATGAGTCTTTCACTATTAGAACACATGCATACGCAGATGAAACAGCATAGGTGCTTAGAAAACTAATTCTGTGCTAGAAAAGGGATGAAACCTACAAAAAGCTATAAGATGACATTCATATATCAATTCAGATCAGTTGTTTCTTGTATTTTCATGAAATTAAAATTCTACTAAAACCAATGTTAGATTCACAAGATTTATATTTTTACTAGATTGGTATTAATTAGTTGTATCTTCTAGAAGTTAATCTTTTCAGCTCCCCTCTAATCAATGTATCTCTACAACCTTCCATTATAAATATAAGGTGATTTGGGTTGTGGAGACACCCAAATATTATAATATTTTTCTTATTTTCTCTCAAGTAGGATAACAAGGATTGAATCCTTGATCATGTGACCAAAATAGCTTTGATAACGTATTATGAATTAGCTCTGCCAAAATCTTAAGTTATTACAGGTTTGTTTTCAAATAAAGAGTTTCATATAACTATTTGGCTGTGTGAGAAGTGTAAGAAGAAGACCTATAGAAGCCATTAGAAAGAGTTTAATTAAATAAGGATAGGCTAATAAAATGTAGGTGAAGGAGGGCTTAGAAAAAAACTCGAGCAGTATCCACTTACGTATGAAATCCCTTTAGAAAATTGAATCCACTTCAAAGGGTGCATAACCAAATGGATAAGTTCGGACTACCCTATCAATTTGTTATTTTCTTTGGGAGGTATCATGAAGGATTTGGAATGTAACACTATTGATTTATACAAATAGAGAAGAAAAGGTTCTTTATTTATTCAAACACTTTTCCTATATGGTAGGGACAGAAATTATGTGATTTATACAAAGGTGCCATTAACCAAAGGCGCTATGAAAGAATTTGAATAGAAAAAGTACTTTTGGTGCCATTAGCCAATTAATATTGAAGTTTCATCTTGGTAAGTTTACTGTTCTTTGAGAGAAAAAGAGGGAGCAAGGAGAGAAAGAAAAACTGAGAGAGAATATGTATTCACATTCATTTCAGAATTACAAGAGTCCCTATGTAAAAAAATGAGGGGGTTAAAACTGTTATAAAAACAGTAACAAAAACTGATAATTTGTTTTATAGCATCCCTGTGATATTCAAGTGGTTCAGCCAAAAACTGAGAAACTTTGTCAACTGCATAGCTGATTTCAGGACAAGTTATGGTGGCATATTGAAGTACACCAACAACAGACCTATATAAGGTTGCATCAGGAAGAAAGTCAGAACCGTTTTTGGGTAATTTGCAAGTAGATGCCATATGAGAGGAAATAGGATTAACTTCAAACATATTGGACTTTTTAAGAAGATCACGAAGATACTTGCTCTGCGTTAAAAGCATAGAACCATCTTTAAGTTATTTGACCTCTATTCCCAAATAATAATCTAGCTGACCCAATTGTTAAAGAGATAAGGGATAATTAAGTTGATTGATGATCCTTTGAACAAGAGTTCCTTGGAACTTATCAAACCATTGACGGGGTGCTCGTTTCAAGCCATAGATAGCCTTGTTTGAGCTTACAAACTAAAGGATCAAAGGCCCCAAAATTAGGGGGTTGTTGTGGGTAGACAATTTCACTTAATAGACCATTTGGGAATGCTTTATTCACATCTAATTGAAGAAGAGGCCAAGAGCCAATGACAAAATTAACCTAATAGTAACAGGTTTGATAATTGGAGAAAATGTTTCATGAAAATCAAACCCGGGTTGCTGATGGAAACCTTTAGCAGCAAGATGAGTTTTATATTTATTCAAAGAGCCATCAACATTCTCTTTGACTTTGAATACCCACTTCCAACCTATATCTTACCGAGAAGATGGAAGAGAACGGTCCAAGTATTGTTTTTTACCAAGACATCAAACTCATGTTTCGAGAATAACAATGTACCAATTGTGATCTTTTAAGGCCATCTAAACACTTTTTGGTTTGGAATGTGTCATAAAAACAGAGGGACGAAGCCTATTTTGCAGCATATCATATTTAGATATTGTTTGCATATGATGAGTGTTGATAGGAGGAGAAGTAGTATAAGTGGAGGAACCAGACTGATTTTGAGACAACAGTTTCAGATTCAGTTTGAGAGATAGATTGAGCGGAAGATTCAGAAACTGTAGGAATAGATGCAGTGGTTTGAGAGGACCAACTAGATGAAATGGTGGTATTAGGAAGAACAACAGGAATAGAATCGTAAATGGAGGAAGAAGTAAGATTGGTGTTACTAGTGTTTAAGGTAGAAAATAATTGAGTATAAGGAAACTGTTGTTCATTAAAGATAACCTCTTTGGAGATTAACATTTTACCACTACGAGAGAGACATTTGTATCCTTTGTGAGAAGTAGAATATCCAAGAAAGACACACTTATGAGACCAAAAATCAAATTTATGCTTGTTGTAGGGTCTAAGATGAGGAAAACAAGCACAACCAAAGGTTTTTAACAATTGAAAATCTGGGAGAGCTTTATAATATTCAGACAAAGGTGTCATGAGTCTTTTACTATTAAAACACATGCATACGCAGATGAAACAGCATAGGTGCTTGAAAAACTAATTCTGTGCTGGAAAAAGGGATGAAACCTACAAAAAGCTACAAGATGACAGATCATATATCAATTCAAATCAGTTGTTTCTTGTATTTTCATAAAATTAAAATTCTACTAAAACCAACCTCTGAACAAAGGTGCATGTAGCACTGAGCTCAAAGAGAGCAATAATGAATTGACAGAAGAAAAAACTAGAGGAAATTAAATTTTCACTTGCAGGTGTGCAGCAAAAAAGGAAAACAAGATTATTGAAATCATTCTCATCCCTCTGAAATGATTGACTGGAAGAAGCAAAGAACAGAAATATACTACTTTTGTAGTATATTATTACCTTTGCAGACCCCATTCCTAACCAAAATATATGGGTAAAACAAGTAAAAAAAAAACACATTTATTTTGTTTAATCTTGAGCCTTAACATTGCATTTTCACCTTGTATTCATATTTCATCACAAATTTGCAATGCAAAATTGTTTCAAGCATGTATGCAATTTCTCATTTCTTTTACCAATCAATCATTTATCATAAAATAATAACTAGTAGATGAATAGTAACTGAAACTGAACTATGGAAAGGAATATGAAGAGACAACCTTGTATTGCCACCATATTTTCTGCTTCACATCATCATCGTAGGTAAATCCACCCATGATCTGAGGAAATGTAATCAGCCAAAATGCAGCAATACTAGGATCTTTCATGCTGTGGACTATGTGCTGAAGAGGGAAAGAATAAAACAAATAGTTATGAATGCAATGTCAAAAAAGAGTGTGAAATGAGAAGTAAAATAAATCATACTTTATGTATCCTCTTGACACACTTATTTAACCAATAAAAGTTTGCATGAAATGTTAATCTAAGAGAAACATGAATTCCAATGCATAACACACAAAAAAGTAAAGAAATGAGTAAAAATGCCTAGGTTTGTTTCAGTTGCATGTGGGAGGAATCTGTATTATATTGCCAATTATGAATAATGACAATACAATTGCTTACTTAATAGAACCAAATTTGAATATAGAAATGGTACTGACCTCATATGGGTAATCCATTTTTTTCAAGACATTATAAGCTTGCCATGGGGGCTCCATAATCTGCACAAAGAAAAGGATGCTTAAAAACAATATGAACTAGATTTAGACCGACATGTTACACAGTTGATCAATAAAATCATTATAAAATCTATTTAGTAAGAGTGTATTCTAATTTAAATATATTACATATTGCTGAGAAGTAAAATAAATAATCAAACAAATCTTTAAAAAGTTGAGAGATTTTTGCAAGATTTAAAATATTGTCATTGTTACAAGAGAAATCAACTAAGTTTTGAGGAAAATATTTGTTGAGGAAGCAAAATTTTATTTTGTAACAATTACAAGTATAATTACATCAAAAGAATTCACTGTATTGATTAATTAATGGTTACAGTGTAACTGCTGGATTCTAATTCGTTTGAGAAGTTAAAATAAAAATTGAAGTTGTAGACGTGGGTATAAATTGGTTAAGAGAGAGTGAGAAAATAAAATATTGAAGCACTAAGTGACACATCATAAAATACTGGTGTGGCAACAAAGGATTAGTTTAATTGTCAATGCCATATTAGGCTATATATTATAAACAGATTATTAAAAATTCACAGGTAATATTAAAGATCAAAATATGAACAGGTTAAACTCAACAATGGGAAAAAAATCAAGCACCAAAGAATCAACAATACCCACATCATCTGCTGAGATCCTAACGTGCAACAATCTGTGTTTGCATTCAGGACAGCTCATTACACCCTGTCCAAAGTGAATAACTTCATCAAAAAGAAAGAATCATAACACATTGCCATGTTGAAGTTACCAGATGAAGCAAATATGAAACTAACTATTGATCTCAAAACAGAATTGTTTTATGGTGTGAGAGTGTGTGAGCAGGGGGAGGACTAAAGTTTACTCATGCATTACTACTTGAGCGGGAATGAAGTTATCCATGAAAACAAAATGTTAGATGAAATGTCAAGTTGTCTTGGAATTAGGATCACACCGTTCCATCACATGTTGGGCACTCTTTTGAAGGGAGTGGATTTTGAAAATCCAAGGATGATGGTATATGCACCAACTCAGCCCGATTGTTGGCAATGGCGTCTGCCACGGATTCAGCTGTTGGCTTCTCTCCACTAAAAGTGAATAAGTTGAAGAACATATAAGGTGTACACAAATTAAAGAGCATCTCACAAAATGATAAACGAAGATAGAAATCAAAATAGAAGAGAATTATCCATTTAAAAAATACTGCACTATCTTACATGCCCATTTTGATATAAATCAGATACACATTTTCTTATTTGACAGAAGATATTTCACTGCAGTCCAAATATAAATATATTAATTTAGTGTACTTTGATGATCAAGGTCAACCACCATTTTAAAAAAACTCACCAGCATAAATTAGTATGAGTTAATACCTTTTTCTCCCATCCAAACTTTGTATATGGTGTATAACTATTTATAACCTAGTTTCCTTGGAAGCTTAGACAAACTACATAAGTAACCATTCATGACCGCAAATGACAAAGATTGCAAAGTATTCTTACTCAACTAGATTCTCAACTTTTATGATCTTGAAATATTTTTTACATGTATAATTACTTGTGGGTCCTATTAAAAATTTCAACAAGAGGACCAAACAAACCACAGTTTACATGGTAATACTGACTGCAACGTCTAAATTTATCCACATGGAGAGTAACTTGCCTCTTCAAGGTGTAATTCTTCACTTGATAATGCACCCTCCCACTTCCTCGGCACATAGTACACCGTAAGGCCCGCCATCCATTACATGTATTACAATTCCTGTTCTTGAGACACATTTAGTTAGAGTTTAACAGAAGTCAATGAGCAAAACTACACTAATAAAATACTATAGGTATCATGTATTCACGTGACAGAACAAAACCATCAAGGAATGCAAAACACCACCTTTGACATAGCACCTTCCTCCCCAGCTCAAATGCAATGTCATAAGTTCCAAGAGCAGCTATAGCCTAAAACCATGCCGCAAAGCAACATTCATCATTATAAAAAAGAAAAGAATAAAACAGAACCTAAAACTAACTAGATGAAATTTCCAGAGAATATAATTCCCACCAATATCAAACCAATAATCCAATTGATAAAAAAATTACAATGTAAAATGGATTCCAAAAATACATATTTGGTTTAAGATAAATCATTCTGTACACATTTTCAATCTCACGAATCACTAACAAAATGTTACATTGTTATCAGCTTTTTTATTTCAAGTTTTTTTTCATGAAACTGGAAAAGAAAACAGACGATAACATCATCACTTCTTTTCGTTTGTTCTATATCTATATAAATAAATAAATGCAGAATAGTGAAACTAATATTTATGAAGACCGCATCTGTCTTGTACAAGTATCTCCATGGAGGCAATCCGGTAACACCATAAAACAAAATCTCTTCCTTTGACAATTTAACGCAATTGCATTCTCACAACTCGTACTTGAACTCAACCACTGGCTAAGCAGGTATTATTTCATACCAATGTTGATGGTGGTACAGCGTATAATGAATATAAAATGACATTTTTATAGTTAATGATAATAACCGACTATAAAAACGAAAACATTCTCTTAATTCAAAGAAACAAACTACCTGTAATCTCCATTTCCTCACACACCCGGAAATTAGGGAATCAAATTGTATAACAGATTAGAGAAATTGCATGAAAACATTGAGAGAAGAAAAATTCATAAGGGAAAGGGAAAGGGGACTGACGAAGACAGAAGTGGCAGAGAGCTTGGAGATGAGTTCGGGGACGCCGAAGCCACGAGGAGCAGAGCCGGCAATGTCGAAGGCGAGAGTGAAGGGAGACAAGACCACCTTAATTGGGAAGTCCAATATGTCGATAATGTTCTGGCCGTACCGATTGCTGAAAACCTTGTACCGAACCTCCACGAACTTCTTCACCGCCTTCACCAATCGCTCTCGAGAACTCGACATCGCTGTCCCCAACACATACACACTCACTCAGAGTCTCAGTGAAGAAGAAGAAGAAGACGATAGATAGATAAAGAGTTATCCTTTCAAATTTCACGGTTCCAAAAGGGTTTAAGATTTCAAAGTTAAGCACTGGTTAAACTCCCCAATTTGTATGTTATATATAATTTTTCTTTATCACACAAAATATCGTTATTTGTTTTAATGTAAGATGTGAATATAAAAGATAAAAAATGTTAATTATATACATGTTAAATAAATACAATCTCAATTATTTTATATTTAAATAAATAAATTTTTGGATCTAAGTTTACACATATGAGAAAAAGAAAATAATGATTGATTTAGTATGTTTTGACTTAATAAATGATTAATTAGTCAATTAAAATAAATTGGTTCGTTTAAATTTCAAGAGTTCAAATTAAGCTCAAAATAGAGTCACAGTTTTTTCTAGTCTAAATAAACTAAAGTTAAGAAAATTTAGTTATTTACAAGACTTATTAGAGATAAGATTTTTATGTTTAATACATCCTTATACTATTTAAAATAATTAAATAAACTAATCACTGAATATATGTTTAATATAATTAATTAGATGATGTATAAATTTAAATTGAATAAGAAAAATAAAAAAAAGTTACAATAATTACTTAGCTAAGTAATTATTAATTTGAATTAACTACGAATAATAAAATGATTTTTCTTTAAGTTAAAATCAACTTATGCATTTTTAATTTTTATAAGAGCTATCTCATCTAACTCCTCTAAAAACGGATGTGTCCAAGCTATTTTTAACTGATAGAAAAAGTTTATATCATTTTTTGCCTTCTTTTTTTCATTTGTAAGTATTTTGGAAAAATTTACCCAAACATTTGATTATGTTATAATTTGATGATGAAATCTAATTTAATAAATCTGAAAAAAAAACTTATATTGATAAATTTTATTTAAAATGTTCTTGAAATAAGTTAAAAAGAAAACCACAAGTCATCTTTCAAGAGTTCATGTAAGTTTTGTAATTTAACATGATTTCTTTGTGCTAGAGATGATGAAAGACTATCATTATACACTTTTAATTGATTCCATGTGTTATCACACACTGGAAGCATTTTGTGTGCTCCATCTCCTAAACCTTACCCACACAAGCCTCACAAATGTACTGATTGTGATCACTTTTGAGGAAAGGAAACTTAGTTTAACAATATATTAGTTACTATAATTGATTAATGTAGAATTTGATATATGTATTTTTCTTTTTATATTTTCATTGCATTTTTTTTTTGTGTACAATTGTTTTTATTATAGTTTTAAATATACGTAGTGTCACTTAAATCTCAGAGTTAAGGTTAATGGTATCGAACATTTGGACTTACCGTGGAATGTGACACATGGTTGATAAGTCATGTACCAATTTTTTGAATAAAATCTAATAAATGCTGTAGTATACGTGGAAGTTTTCACTTTAAGCAGAAAACGTCTATAACTTAGAAAATGATAACGTGTGAATTTTTAAGAATAATTTTCTTCTAGAAACTTATAACTCTTATCTTTTTTTTGATAAATTAGTTATTAATATAAGTTTTATATAATTCATTCTCATCTATTTTTAGGCATATGAAATGCGAAATATTGTAGTTATTTTTCTCAGTCACAACATATAATCTTATCTTGTAATAATAATCAATCCATTATCAAAGGAGTTTTGAGTAAGTATTTTGTACATGTATGATTTTTGTTTGAGATTTAAGACATTTTCAAGATTGAAATACATAGTTACTAGTTTTTAATGTGAATATATCTTTAAATGGAGTTTTAGATTGATAATAGAGAATGCTAAGGAATAGTCTTATTGCATGTATAAGATTATTTGTTAAGTGCTCAATTTCTTAAAAAAAACAAGAGTTTTTAGATAATTAAGTGGAGAAAAGATTCAAGTTCCAAATTATGTAGTATAATCAAGAACATGCGCATAAGATATCCTTCTTGAAGGAATGATTAACTCTCTAGTTGCATTATAAGCAAATGGTGATTTGAAATCATCTATGTGTTAGGTATCAGACTAGCACAAGAACTCAACTAAAATAGAGAAGAGAAAAATAGAATAGCAATAATGGACAAAAGTAGAAATTTTATAATAGCAAGGAAAGATTACACACCCCTTCTCTAGTCCTAAAATTGACAACACTTTCTAATACTAGAGAAGGAAAGGAATTTTTTTGGGATGTATAGAATGGGGGGTATGTGGTTTCTTATATAACCACTCACCCATACCCCCTTTGAAGTACCCACAGATGTGGGACTTTGTTCTCACAATCTCCCACTTGAAGATTTTGATGAAATTAATCAAATCTTCACACCATGATTATCTTTTCCATCTATGCTGCTTATGCTTTCAATAGGCCATAACAGGATCGACTTAGTATAAACTTGTCAGCATTTACTGGTTTTGTCAAGGCATCTGCTAGGTTATCTTTGGTATGAATCTTCTCGCATATCCACACTCCCTTCCTCTACTACTTCTCCGACAAAATGATATTGTACTCCTATGTGTTTTGTTCTGGAATGAAAAGTCGGATTCCTTGCAATGTGCAAGGCACTCTGACCGTCACAATACACATTGATCTTCTGTTGCTTGTGTCCGAGTTCTCCCAATAACCTTTGAATCCAAATTGCTTCCTTGCATGCCTGGGTAGCCGCCATGTACTCCGCCTCTGTAGTAGATAAGGCTACAACAGTCTGCAGCTTAGATAGCCAACTTACCGCTCCACTTGCAAGTGTAAACACATATCCTGTAGTAGATTTTCTTTTATCAAGATCACCTGCAAAATCTGAATCAACATATCCTCTCGACAATAAACTCTGATCCTTCAAAACATAATGCAAGCATTAGAGGTTCCTTTAATGTATCTTAGGATTCTTTTCACAAGCATTCCAAGTGCTCTCTACCAGGATTTGCCATAAATCGACTAACCGTCCCAACTCGCTTGTGCAATATCTCGGTCTCGTACAAATCATAGCATACATAAGACTTCCCACCGTCGATGCATACGGCACTCGAGACATTTCCATCCTTTCTGCTTCATTGCTAGGACACATATTTGAGGATAATTTGTAATTGATAGGCAATGGGGTAGAGATTGGCTTACAATCTTGCATGTTGAAGCGCCGCAAGATTTTCTTAAGATAATTCTTTTGAGAGAGCCAAATCTTCCTATCCTTTTTGTCTCGGTGAATTTGCATCCCTAAAATCTTGTTTGCGAGTCCCAAGTCCTTCATATCAAATTCCCTAGCCAACTGTGCCTTCAATTCTTGGACTCGATCTTTGTTGGGGCCTACCACCAACATGTCATCCACATACAACAACAAAATGATGAAATCATTATCATCAAACCTCTTGTAATACGTACAATGGTCTGAACTCAGTCTGTTGTATCTGAGGCTAATAATGAAGGAATCAAATCTCTTGTACCAACACCTTGGCGCCTGCTTTAAACCGTACAAAGATTTGGTCAACCTACAAACCAAGTTTTCTTTTCCTTGTTCTTCAAAGCCTTCTGGTTGGAGCATATAAATTTCTTCTTCAAGTTCTCCATGAAGAAAAGCAGTCTTTACATCCAATTGTTCAAGATGTAAGTCAAATGCAGCACACATAGCTAACACTACTCTGATAGTGGTAAGTCTAACCACTGGAGAGAATATCTCATTGAAATCAATGCCTTCCTTTTGAGCATACCCTTTTACTACCAGTCTTGCACGATATCGTTCCACTTGATCATTACCATCACGTTTGATCTTATAAACCCATTTGTTGCCGATGGCTTTTCGACCTTGTGGAAGTGCAACAAGCTCCCATGTCTTGTTTTTGTGTAAGGCTTCTATTTCTTCTTGCATTGCTGCCATCCACAGAGAAGCATCTGAACTACTCACAGCCTCCTGAAAGGTTGACGGTTCTCCCTCTTCTGTTAGAAGACAATATGCATCATGACTTGCCATTACATAGTCTGAGTGCCAAGATGGTCTCCTTATCTGACGTGTTATTCGTCGAACTTCTGTGTCATTGGCCTCTTCTGGTTCTTGCTCCTCATGCTCTGGTTCTGCTTCTAAAGAATCTTCTTCTCCAGACTTTCCATCTATTTGTACAGTAGTTACATCTTTAGAAGTGCTGTCATTTACTTGTTCATTTTGCAGTTCATTCTCTGCAAAAATTACGTCTCTGCTGACAATAACCTTGCGGGCAGTGGGATCCCACAGGCGATACCCCTTAACTCCGTCAGCATAGCCCAAGAATATGCATTTTCTGGATTTTGGATCCAACTTTGTTCTTTCTTGGGAGTTGTACATTACGTACACAGGACATCCAAACACATGTAGAGAAGAGTACTCTGCTGGCTTTCCTTTCCACATTTCCATAGGTGTCTTTAAACCAATCACAGTTGATGGAGATCGATTTATCACGTAACAAGCTGTCTTCACTGCTTCTGCCCAAAAAGACTTGGCTAATCTTGCTGTTCGCAAGATAGCTCTAGTCCTCTCTAGGAGAGTTCTATTCATCCGCTCTGCTACACCATTTTGCTGAGGTGTATGAGCAACCGTGAACTGTCTCCTTATACCCTCCTGCTTGCAGAATGCCAGAAACTCACCATCTGTATATTCTCCTCCATTGTCTGTCCTTAAGCACTTGATCTTCTTTCCAGTTTCAAGCTCCACTTGTGCTTTGAATTCCTTGAAAACTGGAAACACATCTGACTTTTTCTTGATTGGGTACACCCACAATCTCCTAGAGTAATCATCAATAAATGATACAAAATATTTAGCTCCTCCTAGGGACATTTCCGGTGACTCCCACACATCAGAATGTATCAAGTCAAGTATGTGTTTGCTTCTAGTAGTTGACTTTTCAAATTTCAATCTATGTTGTTTGCTTGTCACACAGTGCTCACAGAAAGGTAAGTTTACCGATGTGAGCCCGGGTAAGAGTTTACGTTCCACAAGGACCTTCAAGC